CTAAAGAGTCCATGGAATATTGTTGTTTCCTTGCAATAAAAGTTTATTTTAAGTTAGTTTGACAGGATTTCTTAATCTTGCAAACAAAAATCCCTGATTAAGGCACTCAGGTCATTAAAAGTCTGCATGGAAGAGAATTTTCAATATAAACTACACACCATTCTATGGTATATGTCCCCATTGTTATTCATTTAGGTCATTTACGTTTCTGTGACTATACTTGTAGAATTTTTTTCCTTCATTCAATTACCATAAAGTGAATTGATGAGACAAAAGGTAGGCATATTTTGCAAGGCTTTCGATGTATTTACCAAAATGCCCTCCAGAAAGGTTATATTAATCTTCACACCTTGTTAACAGTGTGAAAATGCCCAATTTTCCACACCCATATCAACTCTGGGAATTATCCTTAGGATATTTGACAATCTGATGCATACAAAATGGTTCTGCTTTTTTTTTTTTTTAATAGACTTTATTTTAGAGCCATTTTAGGTTCACAACAAAATTGGGAGGAAGGTACAGAACAGAGATTTCCCATCTACCTCCTGCCCCCCACACATGCGTAACCTTCCCCATTATTAACATCCCAGCCAGAGTCGTACATGTGTTAACAACTGATAAACCTACATGGACACATGATCACCAAAGACTAGTTTACATTAGGGCTCACTCTTAGTGCTGTGCATTTCATGGGCTTTGACAAATGCATAACAACATGTATCCATCATAATTTCATTGAGAGTAGTTTCACTGCCCTAAAAATTCTCTGTGCCTCACTTATTCATCCCCTGCCCCCCAACCCCCGGCAACCACTGTCTCTATAGTTTTGCCTTTTTCAGATGTCATATAGTTGGAATCATAAACAGTATGTAGCCTTTTCAGATTGGCTTCTTTCATTTAGTAATATGCATTTCAATTTTCCTCCGTGTTTTTTCATGTCTTGATAGCTCATTTCTTTTTTTCACTGAATAATATTACATTGTCTGGACATACACACAGCATAAGACATGTCTATTAAAGGACTGTTACCCAAAATATAGAAAGAATTCTTAAAACTCAACAATAAGGAAACAAACAACCTGATTAATAAATGGGCCAAAGATTTTAACAGACGCCTAATTAAAGAAGATATACAGATGGCACAAAAGCATATAAAAGGATGCTGAATATCATATGTTATCAGGGAAATGCAAGTTAAAATGAGATATCACTACATACCTATTAGAATGGCCAAAATTCAGAACACCGACCACATCAAATGCTGAAATGCATGTGGAGCAACAAGAACTCTCATTCATTGCTGGTGGGAATGTAAATGGTACAGCCACTTTGGAAGACAGTCTGGCAGTTTCTTTTTTTTTTTTTTTGTCTTTTGTCTTTTTTCCGTGTCCGGCAACGGATCGCAA